GTGAACACACACACACACGAACACTAAATACAACACATTTTTTTAAAAATTAGGAGCTGAAGAGATGACTCTGCAGTTAAGAGTACTTCCTGCCCTAGCACAGGTTCCCTGTACCCACATCAGGTAGTTCACAACTATCTGTAACTCCAGTCCAGGGGACCCTGACGCCTTCTTCTAGCCTCTGGGCACCCACACACAAAATGTGGCATACACTCATGAGAACACACATACACATAAATAAAAATGAAGTCTATTTGTAAGATTTATTTATCTTATTATCTTGTGTATATGAAGGTTTTGCTTGCATGCACATATGTATACTGTATATCTGAGGAGGTGAGAAGGGGGTGCCAGACCCTCTAGGCCTAGAGTTACATACAGTTGTAAGCCACCATGTTGATCCCTGAGATTGAACCTGAGTCCTCTGTAGGAGCAGTAAGTGCTCTTAACAACGGAACCAACTCTCCAGCTCCAAAATAATTAAAAAGAAAACATTATGAAACAATTTCTGGAACCTACAACTGAAGGAGGAGGAGTCTTAGGCCCCAGAAGTATCAAGTAGTCAATTGTGGTTTCTTTGTAACTAAACCTCTTTAAATCCTTGCAAGTTTAAATTTTAAACATAGTCTCAGCTCCAATAACTACTTTTGATATTCTGAAAATAAGTGGATTTCTTTTTACTATCAAAGTTTTTGATTATTGATAATGCATTTGAGCTTAAACTCTTTCAGATGTGAGAATGGAAGAGATTTTGTAATGGGCCTAGTGCAGACAGCCTAATTATACAAGGAGGAGTTAATAGTGTTAACCAGTAGTTCTGTCAACCTGAGGAAAGCTCACACATTAACAAGCTCCGGAGTTATCTGTTAAAAGATCAAGAAAAGCTGGAGGAGAGCCCTGTGCTTCCTCTGTTGTCAGAGTCCACCTCTGACACTTCCTGTGTTAGGGTCGAGCGTGCACCAGGACAAGGTGATAAAGGGACAGGAAGGAGTTTTCCCTTGGAGCAAAGGGAGATAGGACTGCTGGCTTGTGATTCTTTGGCAACTCTATCTCCTGAACCTACAAAACCACTGGGGTGGGGGTAGGAAAGGTTTCAGTCAAGGGGGAGGGCTCTCCACCAGATGCTGCCAGACAGTGATGTCTGAGACCTGGCCAAAGAGTCCAGGGTTTCCGTACACAGTACCTTTAACCAAGTCGATGATAGTGAGGTGAAAAGTGCCTCCATTGGGCCATCCCACACTGAAAGCTGGCCATTCTGTCCTGGGGGAAAAAAAAGGTCAGTCTCCCAGTTAAGCCCAAATTCCCCGCCAGGAGTTGAAGGCCTTGAAATGTGACTGGACTAGGCCCAGTGGGGTGGGGCTGGTGGTCTGCCCCATAGTAGGTCTCAGGAAAAAAGAACAATTAAAACACAAGCCTGCAGAGGTCCAGAAAAGAAACCAAAAGGAAGCTGATGGTAGCCTATCCCCAAAACTGGGCTCTGCCAATCAGAAAGGTCCTGCTAGTCTCCACCAAAGCCTGTGTCAGACTGCTGTTCTCTGATTCCAACTGAAAGGAGTCCAGAGACAGCAGCCTATCCCTAGCTCCACTAGTTGGGAAGAACCTGTTAGCTTCCACTAAGACCTGGGTTGGAATGGAGCTGTCTCCAACTGAAGGGAGTGTCCTCTGAGCCCACTCCCTTCCCCCCAACCAGGAGGGAGTGACAGGCCCATCTATGCTACTTCCATTGGCCTCCAGGTTGTGCAAACAAAAGAATAAATCACCCCACACTGAGCAAGACAAAACACTACTCAGAACATGACAACACACACACAGCAACCCCTTACTCACCAATTGGAGTAAAGGGGAACCCCAGTGTTCCCAGCCAATGCAACAAATGTAAGGGTAATGGATGAAGGTAGACCCCAGACTCAGTCAGTATGCAAAAACAAAGAGCGTTTATTCTGCAGAAACCTCTAGCATGCAAGGGTCACCACTGTTTCTGAATGGCAACCTCTGTAGGGACATTCGAACCCCTTTTATAACAGAACTGCTTGATTGCTTCTGAGATAACTGCAGACTTCTAAAACTTAGGGCACATTCCAAAGGGTTACAGAAACCATTCACTAAAGGTCATAAGGAAGATACACACCACAGGTGCAGAAACAGGAGATAAGATACTGACTGGTCTCTCTATAGAAAACTTCAAGGTGGCTTAGTATTAAACTTTCCATGGCCCTGTAAGCTATTAACAAATGGTGAAAGTTAAGCCAGATAATTTTTTTTTACCGTGTGACTGAAAACAAAGGGGAGAGATAAGTCTCCCTCTCCGTCTCTCCCCAAGACTTCAACTTAGAGCCAAGGAATAAGACAGGACCAAGGCTGCTTTCCCTAGCCTCTGGCTGTGTCACTTTGAGATGCATGACTCAGGCAGATCTGCTTGGAAAGCAAAGTACCTTAGCAGGTGGTCTGTGGCCTAATTTCTGGGTGGAGATAAAATAGGACTTGAAGAAGGAACTCCTCACCTGTAGAGAAGGTGGCTGTTGACCGCCGGGATTGGTGGTGCTGCGGGCTTATAGCAGAGGACCAGCAACAGACACAGCATGCCTGCTGTGTGCAGAGAATCACCTAGGCCACACAGCTACAGAACTGGGGTATCCCTGCCCTCAGTCTACTCTGGAAGTAGAGTCAGAATAGGACTTGCCACAACAGTCTTTAAACCAATCATACTGGCGAACACCTTTAGTCCCAGCACCTTTAGAGCCAGAGGCAAGAAGAACCTGCAAGTTCAAGGGCAGCCTGGTCAAGGTCTTGAGTTCCAGGACCACCAGAGCTACCTAGTGAGATCCTGTCTCAAGAAAACAAACAAAAAGATAGTTCATTAAAGCTCCAGGTGGTGGTGTATGATTGTAATGCCAATACTTGGGAGGTAGAGGCAGGAGAATCCAAAGTTCAAAATCATCCATAGCTACACAGTAAGGTTATTGAACAGCCTGCACTATATAAGATACTGTCTTAAAAAAAAAAAAAAGGAAAGGAAAGGAAACCAGAAACTTTATTTAACTGTCTTATTATTCTAAGTGTTGTGGTGGTACATAACTGTAAATCCAGCACTCAGAAGGCAGAGGCAAGAGGATCACCATAAATTTAAGCCAACCTAGACTACACAACAAGTCTCAGGCCAGCCAGGGCTACATGATGAAGCCTTGTCTCAAAAGCAAAGGCAAACCTCACCCCCCAAAAAGTACTATTTTGAGCCAGGTGGTGGTAGCTCATGCCTTTAATCCCCAGCACTGGGGAGGCAGAGGCAGGAGGATCTCTGTGAATTCCAGGACAGCCAGGGCTACACAGAGAAACCCTGTCTCCAAAAAAAAAAAAAAGTGCGGTTTTAAGGAGACCCCTGGGATCTAGTGGAGAGAGGCAGACAGAGATGGGGATGGTGGGGGGTTGGTTTCAGTGGTGACTAAAGTATATCTATATAATTCAGTATGCTGTCTCTGTTAAAAGAATTAAGGAGAAATGGCAGTTCACAGTAAGTACTGTGTAGAATGACGTTCTCTCAAAAACTAATCTATAGGTATGCAACAAGCAGCAACTAACCTTACTTTTACACCTGGGCAGCTTTTTTTTAAGGGTTCCTATCCGTTTTGTTTCATTGTTTTATTGAAATATAAGTGACTTATTAAAATCACTCATTTTAAGACTAAAGTTCTGTGAGTTTTCATCAATGTACAGAATCATGGTTATACAAACACAATCTTTTGTTGTTGTTTTGTTTTGTTTGTTTTCAAGAGCAGGCTAGCCTTGAACACACTGAGACCCTCCAGCCTGTCTCTCAAGAGCTGGGATTAAAGATTTCCGCCACTATCTCACAGCTTCAATTTTTTTAACCTTTCCATCACCCTGGTAGAGTATAAGTTTTATTGGCCTCATCCCCATCCCTGGCCCCAGGCATCTATTTCACTGGTCTTGTTTTGTCTTTGCTGGAATTGTCAGTCAGTGTGTAGTCATCTGCTGGACCTAGCTGAGGTTTGTTTTGTTTACTAGAATGTTGTTTCCAAGCATTCATGTAAAGCTTTGGTTTGTTTTAATTCTCATTTACATATTAGCCTAAGGGAAGGAATAATACTGGGTGTCTCAGAGTTTTATTGCTGTGAAGAGACCATGTAAAGAGTTGCCATGACCAAGGCAACTCTTACATAAGGACAGCATTCAATTGGGGCTGGCTTACAGGTTCAGAAGTTCAGTCCAGTGTCATCAAGGCGGGAGCGTGGCAGCATCCAGGCAGGCATGGTACAGGAGGAGCTGAGAGTTCTACATCTTCATCTGAGGAGCCATCTAAAGAGCGATAGAAGACTAACTTCCAGGCCGCTAGGATGAGGGTCTTAAAGCCCAAGCCCACAGTAACACACCTATTGCAACAGGATCACACCTAGTGCCACTCCCTGGACTAAGCATATGCAAACCATCACACTGGGTAATGTGTTGAGTGTATGTTGAAATTTTTAGAAATGGCCCCACTGTTTCCTAGAGTGTGTCCCATTGACCATGTATGAAGGGCTGAGTCACTCTACATTTCCCACTGTGCTTTGTGCTCACTGGTGTGATGTGTTACTGGCAATGCAATGCTGTGACGCCAATGACATCTTACAGTCTTGATCTGCGTATCTCTAATGACTAATAAAGTATAGCATCTTTCCAGTACTCCTTAGCTGTTTGTATCTTACTAACTAGCTAACAAAATAAGCTGTCTGTACTTAGGCAGTTTAGTTACTAGCCCTACACATATTCTGGGTGCAAGTCCTTTGTTAGATATATGTTGTAAATATTCTCTCCCAACCTGTGACCGTTTTACATTCTTAAAGATGTCTTGTCAATAAACAAAATTTTAATTTATTAAAAGTCAGATTTATCCTTTTTTTATTTTACAACTTTTATTTTTTGTACCTTATTAAGTTATTATTTTAGCTTTGGCTTTTATGTTATCTATTTTATATGTATGTATTGGCTTTTGTTTATTTCAGCCAAGCTGTGCTAGTGGACAGGACCATTTACATTTCTGGACAGGTAGGCATGGATCCTTCCAGTGGACAGCTTGTGCCAGGAGGGATAGTAGAAGAAACTAAACAAGTAAGTGATCCCTGTCTGAAAGGTTCCGTTTCCACTACCTCGTAATATTGGACAGTGCAGACAGTCTGTGACCCTGAGCAGTGATCAACAGATAAACGTGTTTTCAGCTACTCACTACTCAGTTTAAGACTTAAAAAATAACTTTTTTTTAGATGTATTTATTTTGACCAGGCGGTGGTGGCGCACACCTTTAATCCCAGCACTTGGGAGGCAGAGGCAGGTGGATTTCTGAGTTCGAGGCCAGCCTGGTCTACAGAGTGAGTTCCAGGACAGCCCGGGCTATACAGAGAAACCCTGTCTCGAAAAGCCAAAAAAAAAAAGATGTATTTATTTTGTGTGTATAAATATTTTACCTGCATGCATGTATGTTTAGCATATGTGTACCTGTTGGATTCCCTGGAACTTGGGTTACAAGTGGCCATAAACCACCCTGTGGGTGTTGGGAATCCAACTGTGTCCTCTGCAAGAGCAGCCAGTGCTCGTAACCAGGGGCCATCTCTGTAGCCCCTTTAAAATGGCTTAACAACAGAGAAAACCTTCTCATCATCACCTGTGCTATCCAAATCAAAGCTGACGTGTCCAGATGGATTGGAAAGTTTATTTTCAGGGCCATCGACCTCCCTCCTTTCCCCAAAGTTTGTGTGTATGTGTGTGTGTGTGTGTGTGTGTGTGTGTGTGTGTGTGTGTGTAACTCATTCCTGATGATTTAGTTATTTGAGGTTTTATTTTGGATTGGGATTAAGTGTTATTTTAATTTTGGAGACAGGGTCTCATGTAGCCTAGGCAGCTTTGACCTCACTATGCAGCCGTAGGTGACCTTGGGCTCCCCATCCTCTTGCCTTAACCTCCCAAGTACAACAGCATATCCATCCCAGTATTCCTACCAAATAAAGCCTTTCACTACAGTTCAGAGAGACTCAGTCCACTAATGGAAAGCCAGTACATAATCGACTTGTGTGGAAACATCAGTTAAAGGACTTACACAGCAGCAGCGTCTTTGACCTTTCTTGACTTGATTCACAGGCTCTTAAAAACTTGAGTGAGATTCTGAAAGCTGCAGGCTGTGACTTCACTAATGGTAAGCAACTGGGTCTTTCTTCCCTGTTCATTCGTTTTGTTGTCTGTTTATGTTGTTTGCAGCACTAAGGAACCAGCTCAGGGCCTCGTGCATGCCAGCAAGCATTCCACTGTTGACCACACCCCCAACACTGTTAGTGTATGTTTGTTATGCCTTTGGTCTTTGTGGAGAACATGTAATATCCAATAATCTGGTTATCATGTCTTTGTTGCTAAAGGCTGTGCGGTTGTTTGTTTTTAGTATATATACAGTATTCTGCCTGCACATATTCCTGCACACCAGAAGAGGGCACCAAATCTCATTAGCCAGGTGCTTTTAACCTAAGCCGTCTCCAGCCCTAAAGGTTGTGTTTTTAATGGTCTAAGAAACAACACTTTCATTTTTTTAGTCTTGGTTCCATCAAGATACTCATAAAAAAAATCATACACTGAAATTTTGGTTTTTGTTTTGCTTTGTTTGTTTTCGGGGTGGGATTTGGTTTGTTTTTGTGTTTTGTTTTTTTAGTTTTTTGAGTTTTTTTTTTTTTTGAGTCAGGGTTTCTCTGAGTAGCTTTAGATGTCCTAGACCTCACTCTATAGACCAGGCTGGCCTCTAACTCATAAGAGATCTGCCTGCCTCTGCCTCCTGAGTGCTGAAATTAAAGGCATGCACCACTGCCCAGATATACACTGTTTTTCTGTCTTTTTTTGTCTGATGAAATGGCTAAAACTAATAAAAAAATTATATATATGAAACTGTCTTCTAGTGGTGAAGACAACTGTTTTACTGGCTGACATAAATGACTTTGGCACTGTCAATGAGATCTACAAAACATGTAAGTGATTTGACTTTATTTCCACTTACTTTTAAAGGAAAATAAATCTGTTGATATAAATGTATCTTGTCAAGTAAGAGTGATAGAGGTGTATGTTTAAAATGATATTTTGTCCCAAATATCCATCATCTGGTTGGAAAAACAGTAGTAGTATGCCCTCTTAAGAAAGATCTATTGCTATCTCAGTTCTTAAAAATCATATTCATTTTCCTAAAACTTAACTTTATTATTTGTTTCTTTGGCTTTTTTATTATTTGTTTTCTTTGTTTTTTTTTAAAAAAAATCCTAAATCTTTTTAGACATACAGACTTACTACTATTGCTATGATATAATCTAACTATCATCTTGTGGCTCTCTCAGAACCACTGGGAACTTACTTAACATTTCCATACTAGTGTGTAAAGTGAGGACAGGATTCTGCCACTTTAAGGGGTTGTTGGAATGATTCCATTAATTATCCTGCACAGCACTTAGAACAGATGATGGCAGGGTATAAGCTCTGAGCAAATGCTCCTGTTGCTGTCATTGCTGTAGCAGGGAAAGGAAGTCTGTGTCTCCTGGTGGGATGTAATGAAGGTATGGTGTGGAAAATGCTTCGTTCTTATTCTCTGCAGAAGAAATGACCAGAGAAGGTTAAAGTTCACAGGGAAGTCCTCGCTCAAGATAAAGAGCCATCCCATTTTGATAACTGGTTCATAGCAATCACTTTAAAGACTAAACCCATGCTCATCATTACAAGACAATGGTGCCACATTATGTGTTTCATTGCTTATAAAATACTTAGAAAATACTAAAGGTCATAAAGTTGTGTGACAGAATATCTTTTCTGTCATTTGTCTGTGGGAATGGGCCAGGCCATGAGACAGTGCCCAGATTCTTGCTTCTCTTGCTGAGTAAGGGCCCATGTCTGGAGATTAACACTGTTCTACGTTCAGATTTCCAGGGTAGCCTTCCTGCCAGGGCTGCTTACCAAGTCGCTGCTTTACCCAAAGTAAGTACCTGGTACAATGCCAGTGCACACATGATACATGAGACCTGTCCTTTGAAAAGAAACTTAAAATGAATACAGTCCCTGTTTCTCAGAAATACAGAGTCTAAAAGTCAATACCCTGATCATGGTTGTGATCTGGAGAAAGCTAAGAAATTGTACAAAGCAGCACATGGGCATGACATGATCCGTCGGACACAATCTGACGACTTAAATTATAAGAAAAACCTCAAGAGCAGCTGTGTTGTGATGTTACTGAGGAAGGAAATGTGTGCTGGACTTCAGTTGCTTGGAGGAGTGTGGATTGCTGGGTCCCACCGGGTGCCTCCCTGCAGTCTGACTTCATGCCCCAGTGTCTGCCTCTCAGTAAGGACTTCTGAAAATGGAGCACAGTGTAGAATTACATGGAGGCTTCTAAATATCCTTTGTCCTCACTGAAGGAAGCTCTACATACCAGCAAGGTGTGAAACTTACACTCTTGCTAGTTCCTACTGTATTTTAGAGTACTGGCCACAGAATTTGGATAGTATTCCCATTAATGTTAATAAAAACAAATTCACCTGGCTCTCATATACTGAAGACTCTAGACCATTCACTGGAATGATGCCGTCCATCCTGGTTCTGGTGTTCCCTCTCTTTCCTATGCTTCCTGCCCACACTGTACACCTGCAGTGTCATTTGTTCTTGCTTTAGTTTGGTGTTCCTGGGAAGGGTCATTGTCAAACTGAAGGTACTGAGAGTATTAGAAAGAGTTTTAAACTTGAAACCAGAAGACACGGGTTTGATTGTCCACTGCTAGTCTTTGTGATGGGGACCACTCTTCCAGCCTTTCTGAGGTCAGTGCCTTAGTTTATGACCAGGGCTGCTGCGGGAATCAAGCGAGCTAATGTATGAATGTGCTTAGCATGGTAGCCTGACCTCTTGTAGGGTCTTAGTGAATTCTCTCTCATCCTTGCTTTCTATGAAGAGATTAGTGGTAAAAACAGACGTTGCCATTTGTTTAGTTGCATGTGTTATTGGACCTTGATTTGCATTAAAGGATTGAGCCAGTGACTTTTGTTTTCCTTACAGGGAAGTCGAATTGAAATAGAAGCAGTCGCTGTCCAGGGCCCGTTCACCACAGTATGACTATAAGCGGCCATGCTGATCTTGACGCTGGAGGTTTTAGAATGTCTTTCACTTTAATTTTTACAAATGATGCTGGGAAGTATAAACATGACCAGAGTGGTTGAAGTTACCATGGAAATGGCCATATATGTGGAGATTTGACATTAACTGGAGATTATTCAATATGGTGACTGGTGCTCTAATTTCACTTACATTGCTGGGTGTGAGAGAAGAGGCACACAGCTACTGAGATGGGGGACAGGGGGGAAGATGAGCTGTTGTTCATGAGAAATAGTAAAGAGCATATATAATTAAATCATATTAATTTGCTTATGTGAAATACTTAGTTCTTATGTTAGATATAAGAAGCTAAATTTAAATATTCAAACTTGAATAGTACCACAAGAAAAAAATGGACCAAAATCTTATACAGATCAATATTGCTTTAATGGAAATAAAAATTAGGTGTGTAACTCCCCCTTGGTTGGTAATTTTGTTCTCTTAATTTTTTAACAGTTTAGTTATACATTAAAACTACTACCTAATAAAGGGTGAGTAGAAATTGTGAAGTTAGGGGCTGGAGAGATGGCTCAGAGGTTAAGAGCACTGACTGCTCTTCCAGAGGTTCAATTCCTAGCAACCACATGGTGACTGACAACCATCTATAGTGGGATCTTATGCCCTTTTCTGGCATGTAGGTGTACATACAGATAGAACACTTATACATAAAATAAATAAACTCTTAAAAAGAAAAATCTCCATCTATTTCATTTCTTAAAGTTTATTTCTGGCTTTCAAACGTTTCAGTTGCAATTAGATTGCATATTATCATATGTTTGTGCTGGGAAGCCTTATTTTGTGTGTATGAGTACTTTTCCTACATGTCTGTTTGTACACATGTGTACAATGCCTGCTAAGGCCATAAAAGGGCATCAGATCATCCTTGACTGGAGATAGAAGGTTGCAAGCCGCCATGTAGATGCTAGGAATTGAACCCAAGTCCTCTGGAAAACCCACCAGCATTTTTATCTGCTACACCATCTCTCCACCTCTGCTTTAAGACCTTTGTTTGGTTGGATTTTGAGACATGGATGCTATGGTGGTTTGAGGGTTTTTTTTTGTTTTGTTTTTTTGTTTTGTTTTGTTTTGTTTTTTTTGGTTTTTCGAGACAGGGTTTCTCTGTGTAGCCCTGACTGTCCTGGAACTCACTCTGTAGACCAGGCTGGCCTCGAACTCAGAAATCCACCTGCCTCTGCCTCCCAAGTGCTGGGATTAAAGGCGTGCGCCACCACTGCCTGGCCAGGTTTGAGTATTCTTGACCCAAGGAGTAGTACTATTAGGAGGTATGGCATTGCTGGAGGAAATGTATCACTGTGGACACGGGTTTTCAGACCCTCCTAACTGCCTGGAAGCCAGTCTTCTCCTGTCTGCCTTCAGAACAAAATGTTGACCTCTCAGCTCCTTCCCCAGCACCATGCCTGTCTGCACACTGCCATGTTTCCCACCTTGATGATAATGGACTGAGCCTCTGAACCTGGAAGCCAGCCCCAACTAAATGTTGTCCCTTATGAGTTGGCGTGGTCATAATGTCTGTCCACAGCAGTGAAACCCTAACTGAGACAGAGACCTTGCTGTGTTATGTAGCCTGGGCTTCCTCCCAGGCTCAAGCAGTTGTCTTCCCTCAGCCACTGGGATAGCCAGACTGCCGGTGTGCTGAGCCCAAAGCCCTTCAGCGTTTTTTCGATAACTGCATGAATAATTTCCCATGGTAGAGTAAACCCTAGCACAGAATAACATAAATTAGAACAGAACTTTCTGGGCCACATTGTTTTCCACTTACCTCCCCAAAGAGTGAGCGCTGCCAGGTGCTTTCCGTGAAACTGCAGATGGCCTTTTACACACTTGATTATCTGCCTTTGTTTTGACAATTTACATAAATGAACAGTCACCGTATACATTATACTACAACTTGCTTCCACATACAGGTATGGATTTTAAAACTATAATTTTTAAAACTACAGTAGACTATTATTTTGTGTGGATAGATTTTAGGTGATTGCTTATACAAACCAGTGTTTTCAAAATTAATGTTTTCCATCAGTGCTACAGTGGTATGTGTTGGGTGACTTTTTGCAGAAGATGTGAACAGATGTCTCTTTACCCCAGATAGAACACCAACAACTTGCCAAAGAAATGATTCCACCCAAGTCTGCCTTAGCGAACCTGTGAGTGTATTAGGGTTGCCTCTAAGAGTATGAATAACCACAGAGCCCGCCCCGCCGTGGGCAGTGAAGCATGCAAAGCTGATCTCTGGGGCTCCATCTTGCAGGCAGCTTAGCTGGGCAGAGACGCCTCTGCCTCACAGTCACTGCTGCTCATATAGTCTTGGGGATGGGGCTTGTGAAGACTCAAGGGCTTCTAAGAGCTCTGTTTCTCTTATGCTCTGTCCAGCAAGGCGCTGGGAATGGACAGCTGGAGCACTGAGAGGGAAAAGAAAGGGCATGGGGACACACAGGACACACAGAAAGCTGGGATTGACTGTTTTGGGCTGGAGAAAGCCCAGCTCTCTGGAAGTTCAGCGTGTTTATTACATATGTACAATTGAACCGAGAGGTGGTATTGCTGCGGTCAGCTGAATGAGGAGGTGAGGTGTTTGTGTACATATAAGCAAGGAGGCAGGGTTTATAGTGTTAGCTGCATCAGGAGGCAGATTTACCTGACCTTAGTAGAAGCAGTCTCTAGTGGGTTACAGTCTGCAGGCCATCAGAATGGGCTGGGGCTAAGAACAATGTTGAACACGTTTTGCACATACTGTTGTTAGGTTTCAAACCCAGGACAAACACTGAGGTGCCTATGTAAAAATAGTCCTCTTTGATATTTTAAATAGGCATGTCAGCACCAGATGAATGAAAAAAGAGAAGAACATGAGCACTCCTAGGTATGGTGGAGGACATCTCTCTGTCTCTGTCTCTCTCTGTCTCTCTGTCTCTCTCTCTCTCCCTCCCTCCCTCCCTCCCCCCACCTCATAATTGTAGATACGAGGGAGAGCAGAGGCAGAGAGCTGGGAGAGTCCAGAGAACGTGACCCTGAGTGAGGTTATGTGAGCGGGTAGAGGAGAGAAGAGATCAGGAGAAGAAAGTGCATGAAAGGGAGTCCAGTAACCAAAATGGCTGGACTGCATAGAAAGGCAGCTGGGGAAAGGGCAGCCCAGACTCTGGGCTGGAGAAGTTTAAGGTAGGAGGTGGCACAAGCCAGCCCTACCCAGTAATGGATAGGGACTGAGGGATGCTGGGAGAACCTCACAGCTGGGTCCACTTTGATATGTAAATAGGTACCTCAGCAGTTCATCCTGGATTTGAGACTTAACAACTGCTCAAACTTGGTCTTCCAAGGAAGGTTTTGCTATCCCTCTGAGCCTGAATCTATGATACAGCTCAATACAGGGGCCAGGGAATGGGATGTGCTAGTTTGAACTAGAATGGCCCCATAGGCTCATATGTTTGAATGCTTAGTCATGAGGGAGTGGCATTACTTGGGAAGGATTAGGAGGTGTGGCCTTGTTGGAGGAAGTATATCACTAGGGGTGAGCTTTGAGGTTTCAAATGCCTCAGGCCCAGTGCTCTCTTTTCCTACTTCTTGCCTGTCTGGATATAGAACCATAAGCTCTTCCTCCAGCACCATGTCTACCTGCTTGCTGCCATGATGAGAATAGACTGAACCTCAGAAGCTGTAAGCCAGCCCCAGTTAAATGCTTTCTTTATAAGAGTTGCCTTGGTCATGGTGTGTCCTCACAGATAGAGAACACTGACTAAAACAGTATCTTTATGGACTCTACAGAGAGTCTTGATGATGTCTGCTCTGTTCTTAGCTGACTTTGTTCCTCAAGGAAATTTACATATGCTTTGTTTCACATGTGGATCGAGTTAATTATCACCAGTGGCTTTCACCAAATTGTACCGTGTGTAGATACACCTAAAATAAACAAAAAATTGGGGTCAGACATCCATTGAGCCAAACTGCCTTCTTGTCTTCCCTGGGCATGGAGGTCACAGAGACACCCTCACAACTCCTTACATTTAGGTGGTGACTTCCAAATCAGACTCTGGATGAGAGACCTGGAAATACAATGCGATGAGGCACCCATGGGAACCAAGCTGCTTGTGACCGGGTCAGGACTTCATGTCCCTCTCCAGATGGACAGAGAAGCACTGCATTTCATTAAATGTGAAAAGAATGGCAGTGTTGGCCTCTCACACATGGGAACAGTGAACAGGCACATGCCCAGAATGAGCACTCAGGAGTGCAGACAGAAAGCAGAAGTTCAAGATGATCAGTGGTTACTTACGTGAGTTCCAGAACACCAACCTAGGCTACATGAGACCCTGTCTTAAACAAATAAATAAAAGGTAAACATATGGACAATACCTAAAATCAAGTCAGCCATATTTCTTTACTATTATCATATTCTTTCTATTATTATTTTTGAAACAGGGTCTCGCTGTGTAGCCCTGGCTGGCTTGGAACTCACTTTGTAGACCAGGCTGGCCTCCAGCACACAGAGATCCACCTGCCCCAAACTTCCATATGCTGGAATTAAAGGCAGCACTACCACGCCCAGCCAGTTGTCATATTCTTTACCTCAGAGTAAACAGAATCTGCTGTTCTTCTGAAGGGAATAATAGATCAACAGAAATTTGTGACTGTACCACAGTTCAAACAAATATACCAGAGGAAGTTCTCAAATACTTTATTAGTTGTAATAACATTTGCTTAATCAAAGTTCTAAATGTTGAGCCAATGGTACAAAATAATTCTATAAAAATGTTTGGCCATAATTCTCCTGCAGCTAATTATTCATAAGGAGCTGCCGTGGTTACATAGCTGTAAGGAACGTTTGTCATAGACAAGTATTCACAGAATGCCAAATTTGTGTTGGCCCTGTGGAGAAAAACAAAGATGAGACAGATCCCCAGAAGACTTACTGCCTCCTAACTAATGCCATTTGATTGGCAATAGCAACCCTTCATTCGGGCTTCTCAACTATTTTTTAAAAAGAATTCCAAGCTGAAGATATAGCTTGGAACTGTATAGAACTTGCCCTGCAAGTATAAGGCCCTGGGTTCAGCCCCTAGCACCACAAGGGGGAACAGTAATGATAATTTCCAATATTCCATTTCCGGTCACTATTCAACCGCCCTAAGTCATCGCTCTGTCAGCTGAGTACAGATCGCTTAGGCACAGTTGCTTCTCTCTAACACCAGTTGATAGCTACGGTTGGGGCAAGTGTTCTTGGAGCCATCTCTAACTGTTCTCTCTAGCAGACTCCAGTGAGGAGACTCCAGAAGAGCTGTGCTCAGTCAGAAGACTCGATATTCCGATAAGAGTTTTGACTAACTTGTTATAACAAGTTTTGAAAACAAAAGGAAAATATTCTCTCATATACACACATGTTAAAGCCAATGGTTTTTAGTTGGTTATATCATGAATAACATTTATCTTCTAAAGTTTATACTTTCTTAAGTTTCTACAATGAACATATTCATTTGTTACTAAGAAAAATGTTTTTTGCTTTTTTTGTTTTTGTTTTTTTGTTGTTGTTGGGTTTTTTGTTTTTTTGGTTTTTTGGTTTTTTTGTTTGTTTGTTTGGTGTTTCGAGACAGAGTTTCTCTGTATAGCCATGCCTGTCCTGGAACTCACTCTGTAGACCAGGCTGGCCTTGAACTCAGAAATCCACCTGTCTCTGCCTCCCAAGTGCTGGGAATAAAGGTGTGCACCACCACTGCCCGGCTAAGAAAAAAAATGTTTTAATAAAGTTTTCTCTACAATTATTGACTAAGTAATCCACATGTGTCTAGAGAGTGCCTACGTAGAAAGCTATTTTTACACCCCTTCACCTTAAATGATTAACAGCTCTGATATTTAGGAAACTTAAAACAAATCCATAAAATAATTACGAGTTGAAGCCAGCTCCTTGTTCATCCTCCTGTTGAGCTGCTGGGGTGAGCGACAGTTGGAAAGATCACCCCTGGGCCTGAGACTCTACTGTGAGCTGGAACCCAGCTGTCTTTATAGAAGTTGTATACTTGAAGTCTCTAAAAGCACAAGGGAAAGCCAACTACAGTTATTTGACCATGCCAGCCAACATCCTGATTCTTTAGATGTGAAGAAAGCACTTCCCTTTAAAAGCACCACTCAATTCAAGGCTGAGTTTGTAATGAAACGTGTTAATTGCTTCAAAAGCTATGAACTGCACTTGAGCTCTTGCCATATAAAGGCCAATGGAAAAGAACACCATAGGTGTGGTTGTGGTTGGTCACAGAGGTCAGCCACACGTCTGTCTTGAGCCCTCCTACTTCTGGCCAGCAGTTTTAAGGTCTGGCCTGGTATTTCCTATATTTGAGGCTGGCAAAAAAAATATGGATTGCCTACTGCAGAAAGCATTTATTCACTATTGCCTTACCAGTTAGATACAGAGTATAATAAAGTTACCTTAAGATTTATCTTTATATGAATGCTTTTGCCTACATGTGTATTTACATCACATGTATGCCTGGTGCCTATGAGGGCAGTGGGTCCCTCAGAACTAGAATTGCAGACAATTGTGAGCAGCTTTGTGGTTGCTGGGAACCAAGTTCAGGACTTCTGCAAGAGCAGCAACGTGTTCTTAACTGCTGAGCCATCTCTGCAGCCCCTGCAGCTGTATAACTAGGACATATACTGGTCTACAAAGTAGCCATACGTTTTTCTTTTAATCTAAAAGAAACAAGTTTCAGGCTAGAGAGATGGATCAGTGGTTCAGAACACTTACTACTTTGTAGAGGACCAGAGTTCAATTCCAAGAACTCATGTCAGGTACCACACAACTTCTCTTAACTCTAACACCAGGGGCTCTGATACCCTCTTCTGGTCTCTGTGGGCACCTGTATCCATGTGTTCAGAAACTTACATACACACACACACACACACACACACAGAGAGAGAGAGGGGGGGGCGCAAGAGGGAGAGGGAGAGAGAGAATTTAAAAATAAATCCTTGCTGGGTGGTGATGACACAGAATCAGGTGGATCTTTGTGTGTTCTAGACTAGTCTGGTCTACATAGTGAGTTCCAGGGCTCCCAGGACTACACTGATAAACCCTGTATCAACATCTAAAAATAAATAAGTAAATCCTTAAATTTTTTAAAGGTTTCTATTATCTTAGTAGCCACATTAAAGGTAAAAGTATAGAAAGCACAAAAAAATGTATCCAAATTTCTAAAGGTAGGAAAGTACTTGGACAGCTAATAGAAAGTAGAGCATTAGTAGACAATCTGTAAAACTTTTATATTAGAGGTCAATTATACTTTTTGAGAGAGTGTTCTTCCAAAAATGACTGTTGTATATAAACCCAACTGTGATCTCAGCACTCAGGAAGTGGAGGCAGCAGGACCAGGAGCTCAGGGTAATCCTGCAGGAGACCCTGTCTCAAAACAAAATTTTAAGGAAGAAAGAAATTTTGAGCTGGTTATGGTGGAAGAGACCTGTAACTCCAGCATTCAAGAGGCAGAGGCAGGTGGATATCTCTGAGGTCAAAGGCCAGCCTGGTCTACATAGTAAGCTCAAGGCTTGCCAGGACTACACAATGAGACCCTATCACATAGACACAAAAAGATAGGCCACCCATTGAAGAATGGACTTTTGTGCCTGTGCTTATTAATTAATCTGTCCAACTGAGTGCTTGCTATAAAAGAAGATTCAGCTGTTAAAATAATCTCTGATAGCTGGATCTGGAGGAACACACTTTTAGTGCCAGCACTGGAGACCTGAGTCCAGGACAGCCAGAGTTACATGTGAGACCATGTCTCAAAAAATAAACAAAAAAAGAATGATCACAGATATTTTATACTAAGCCCTTACATTTAACTTTTCATTTTTAATTGTCAGCCATTAAGTACAATATGTTATAGTGATGCATTTGTGTATATTCTGGAGTGGATATGTCAAAAATACACACCTGCTCTGACATTTTCTGTTTATTGAATCTCCTAATCAGGGAAAACTATCAAATGTAACTTGAAATGTATGTTGTATAAAGTCTCTGCTAATATGAGTTTCTGATCTAACAGTCTTGTTTGAGGAACTACTCTGAATATTGAGCTTGAGCAATTTTAACCGGAAAATGGATTTTCCCACTTATGAGCTAGAACTAGGGTAATGTCACACAAATAAATATTTCCAATACATTGTTTCTTGGTATTAATACATTGACTCAATAGAGATATACAGAATCTATAGCAGTCTATTGAAGGAACAAATACCTGAATTCAAGGTTACATAAAACTGCTTGCTCTTAGTGAGATGAGTCCAGACTCTACTTTGCAGTAGGATGATGTCATCTGTTAAGGAACTTCTATCTGGGTGTGTTGTCAGTGGCATGAGGTAACTCTGACATCAGAGCACTGATAATACACTCCCCTCCACAGTCTTCCACTTAGTCTCAGCTCACCTTAGGAGGTTTTTACTTTAATGTAGACACTAAAGCAAAAGGTGCTAGTTGGTTCATCTAAGTGGTTACCTTAAAACGGTGTATTCTCAAAATAGTAAATTTTTCCATAAACCTACCTTGATATTCATAAACACAAAGCATTTAATAAAGAACAAATTAACTGACATATTGTAATTCACACACAATCAGCAGAATCCCTCACCTGCTTTGGAAGAATTCTGAAAGAAAAAATTACTTTCTGTGATACATGTTTTTAAAATCTTGAGTTCTTATGCTGGGCAGTGGTGGTGCACGCCTTTAGTCCCAGCACTTGGGAGGCAGATTTCTGAGTTCGAGGCCAGCCTGGTCTACAGAGTGAGTTCCAGGACAGCCAGGGCTACACAATGAAACCCTGTGTTCTGGGGATATTTAATCTTGTTCCATCACTATTATAACTGCGTAACTCTCTTATGATGAGTTCCTTAAAATTTGCTAGTTCCTCTCTCCAGCCACCTACATTTAAAAGTTTATCTTTCCTTTTGGGGTCTGATTTGATCCTGAATGGCCCCATGGCTACAAGGATGAAAACAGCCTTCATGCTCTTAAGTGCTTTTACAGTTTTGATTGGCTCTGGCTACTATCACTTTGAATCCATAATTATCCTAAGTATCTAAGAAAACTGTGTCTGGCTTAGCAGTTTTATGTCGTAAAAAATAAAAAACAGCAACATTCTCTGGGTTCCTACAGTTACTCTAAAGCTACACTCCTTTCGTAAACCACAAGGCCACAAAAAGGTGGTGCCCACCCTCCCAGCCTCAAATATTCCTGCCCTCTGGTGTAACACTGCACACTAAGCCCTTCTGTCGCTGGCCCCTGCTGCTCCAAGATCCACAGCTTCTCCTGTTTCTTTTTCTTTGGTTTCAGCTTCTTCACTTTCTTTCTCATTTTTCATCTCTGCTTCCACCTTTTCTCCTGTCTCACCTAGAAAAAAACAACCAAAAGAGACAATAAGAGATGCTTGCAGCCGGGCAGTGGTGGCGCACGCCTTTAGTCCCAGCACTTGTGAGGCAGAGGCAGGCGGATTTCTGAGTTCGAGGGCAGCCTGGTCTATAGAGTGAGTTCCAGGACAGCCTGGGCTACACAGAGAGACCCTGTCTCAAAAAACAAAACAAAAAACAAGAAAAAAAAAAAGAGAGAGAGAGATGCTTGCTTAGCAGTGTGCCCTGGCTAGTTTTTTCTCAAACCTGAGTTTAAAAGGAAGGAGCGTCAATTGAGAAAATGCTTCTATAAGATCCAAGTGCAATACATTTTCTTAATTAGTGATCGATGGGGACCCAACCCATTGTGGGTGATGTCATCCCTGGGTTGGTAGTCCTGGGCTCTATAGGAAAGCAAGCTGAGCAAGCCATGACAAACATGCCAGTAAGCAGTACCCTCCATGGCCTCTGCATCAATTCCTGCCTCCAGGTTCCTGTCCTGCTGGAGTTCCTGTCCTGACTTCCTTCAATGGTGGGCTATGGTATAGAAGTGTAAGCCAAATAAACTCTTATCCCCCCAACTTGCTTTTGATCCGGGTGTTTCATCACAGCAGTAGTGACCCTGACTAAGACACACTAAAAACATGTAACCCCACTGGGGACCATTTTTGCCCTCTAGTAAACACAGTAGGTTTCTTCTGTGCTATCATGACAGCATTCTCATTACCCAGAGCCTCTGAGAGGCCAACGTCATGTCACTTAACAGCCCTGGGTCCTGGCCTGCTTGTAAAGCCAAGATGCAAAATTCCTGAAGAAACAGAAGTTTTTGAAGAGTTTTGTTTGGGGATGAAGACATGCCTTGGTGGATAAGAGCACTCAGAACACAAACAAGAGGGCCTGAGTTCAGGTCCCCACATCTATGTAAGAAGCTGGTTACAATACAGCACGTCTGTAATGCAGCAAAACCAGGCAGAGCCTAGAGCTCATGAGCCACACGGATTCGTCAGTTAGTTAGTTACAGCCAAAGCAATATGCTTCAGATTGAGAGACCACCTCAAAGAGAAGCAGGAGAGAGAGCCATCAAGGAAGACACCTGATGTCAACCTCTGGCTTGGACGCATGTGCACACCTGTACACAGCCACATGGACATGGGCATCCAGGCAGAGATACTAATAATAAAATAAATCTTTAAAATGTTGACATAGCTTGTGTTTTAGAAATGATTCGCTGGGAGCCGAACTGAGCCAGGATAGACTGTTTCTCGAATAAACAGAAGTCATCCATGTCTGGGTCAATTGAACTTCAACCACCCAACAGAGACAGCAGCAGCTCTATGCCAGCACCTCTGGCCCCACAGCTGGCCTCCATCCCCGTGGAGCCTACCCTGGCAGTCAGGCCCTGCCTAGCCTCCACTTACCTTCAATGTGTTCCTCCTCTTTATCAGGGTGGAGTTCTCTGGCCATTTCCACCTTTGCTGCTGTCTCTGAAGTTTCAGCTGGCTGCAGCCCGTTTCCACCTGTTACCTGAGGGTGAGACTCATGGGCACTTCTGCCACCATCAGGAGCGTCGCCGAGTGACTTGTTTGTCACAGGTGTTGGCACGAGCTGGCTTCTGTCTGGCATCAGTGGTGTTTCATTCTCTTTGAGAACTATTTCTAGACCTTGGGGCTGCTCAGTTTCACCTGGTGCTTCTGAAAGTTGCTGCTTTTCACTGCTTTCTGCAGATTGGCTCCCTTCTGCTATTTCTGGAGAACTGTTCTCTTTCGGAATTGTTTCTAGAAGTTGGAACTCCATGTCCTTTCTCGGGATCTCTTGAAGTTCCTTTTGCTCAACTTTTCCCACAAACTCATATCCTTCCAAGATTTCTGGAGAGCTGTTCTCTTTGGGAATCGCTTCTAGAATCTGAGGCTGTGCGTCCTTTCTCATTGCTTCTTCAGGTAGTAGCTCCTGAGCTGTTTCCAGAGGTAGAATGTTCTCAGTTGTGTGTAGAAACTTCATCATTCCAGCCTGTGGAAGCTTGGTGTCTTCCCCTGCTCCAGGGGAGCCCCTCTCTGCTGCCATCCTCAGAGGCTCAGTCTCAGCGTTTCCTTTTAAAGACTGGATCTCTGTCCTTGCTTCCACATCGTTCTTCACATCCTCAGTTCCCAGCGTGTCGTCTTTGCCTCCTGGCTGAGGTAGCTCACACTCTCCCCCTTGCACTAGAGGCTCAATCTTCTTCAGGGGTCTTGAGTGGTCTGTGGCTTCCTTTGCAGGGGTCTCATCATTTGCCAGAGATGGTTGGTGGTAGGATTTAACACCATTGGCTGTAGGCACCACTGAAGCCTTGGGCCTCTCTAATGGAGGACGGCTTTCCCTTTGTGTGTTGCCACGAAAGGCAGCTTCTCCTCCTGGTGTACATGGTTTGGGTTGGGCTACACAGAACTTGTTTTGTTCTACAGTGGAAGAATTCTCATTCGAAGGTACTTTTGACCATTTAGTTGAAAAATGGGTAGAAAAGAAAGAACAGAATTGTTATTTAGCTATCTTGGGAAAGTTAATTGGTACCAAGTAGATTTAATGGTCCAATCAAACTACAACCCTCACTCCAGATCAAAGTCCTTTACTACAGTCAGCCCGACTCCTCACCTGAAGCATTAGAGCCCTCCGACCTGGCTTTCTCCTGCGCACGCTGCCAGGGCGTCTGCTCCATGTACTAATGTACCACAATTGCATGCGTCTTTTACTCTCACCCTCTCAGACCCGCTAGCTTTCCGTGTGTGGTCCTTGGGCTGGCACCCATTCCCATTACACATTGGTATCATCTTTCAGTTTAGTAATTGTGTACTGGTGATCATGTAAAGTAGTCACTTGTCATAATATAGAGAACACAAAATGAAGGCCATGTTCTCAGTCTGACCTCATCTGAACAGACACTCTAATGAGTGGAAAAGAACTGTTTCTAGTTAAACACCTAAGTGATGTATGAAGGCAATTTCTGAGCAAACATGAAAACCCGTGCCCTCTGGTATGACAGAATCACATGAAGCACTGTGAGCCTTCATATACGCAGTGGGGAGAGAGCTGGCAAGCACTGAACTGTATGGAACAGCTCTTTTGGAGTTCCCAAAGAATGCACTAGGAGGTTTGGAGGCTTCAGGGAAGGATAGCTGGAGTTCAGGGCTGCAGTAAGATCGTGGAGGAGCCTGTAGGTGGTGCTGGTGAGCTCAGCGTGAAGCATGAAGAACAAGAACTGTGAACAGGGCTTTGGTAAAAGGTTGACTATATAGAGAAGGGCACAACTCAGAAGTATTGCATGTGTTTACACAAGACCCTGGGCTCAAGTCTCAGCACCAGAGTCAGTACAGGACAGCTACTTCTCTCTTACTTTGCCAGGAGAAAACAGCTGTTTGTTTATAGGGAGATGTTTACATAAATGTTAAATTTTCATCAGAAGATGAATGGGCATTTTGAGGTATAGTCACACAACAGACTGTTACACCAAACATAGTGGTACACGTGCGGAATTTCAGCAATCGGGAGACAGAGGCAGGAGGACCACAAGTTGGGGCCAGCCTGCTCTACATAATGAGTTCCAGGCCAGCCAGGGCTACACAGTGGGACCTGATTCAAACAAATAAAAATAGCAATTGATAAGTGCATCAACCTGATAATTCACTAATTTTCAAAATTAAATTTTTAAAAATTTTCAAACAAAGCTTCATGAAAGAAGGCAGAATATATACTGTATGATCAATTTTTTTTTATATAAACTAGAAAATATTCCAACCTGCTCTTCAGTGATAGATGTAGAGCAATGTTTGATGCCTAGGACTGGGACAGAGTAGGACAGGAGAGTTCAAGAGACGCCAGGAAACATTTGGAAAAACAGAAACAGTCTCAATCTAGATTGCTGATTGCTATGGGTGCATTTGTGGATGCACACAGGGCAAAGTTTGCTGAAATGTCACGGTAAATGTGCAGGATATGTCATCAACATATCAACAATACTCCCCCAATCTGCTAATTTTAACATGATAAAACAATGTGAAAAAAACCTGTAAACATGGGAGTGGGTAGATGAGATACGGACTTTGAAAAGCCTCCTTCTTAGAGGTAGGGGCTTAGTTCAGTGCTCCAGGGCCCAGAAAGGAGGGATGAAAGCTGGGTGTAATGACAGTATGAGGGAGAGCCTTGGCTACCACCGAGTAACCATGTGGATCCTGAAGACAGAAAATATGAGTAAAGGATTTGGGTTGAAACAGAAAGAGACCTGCATAGTTTGCCTGACACATGTGGTGGAGGCAGATGTAGGTTGTGTATAGACAGGCAGTGTCTGGGAGCAGCCAGATCTTGACCAGATGCATGTTGCCTGTGTCTGTAAAAAGGCAGTTTTGGCATAAAGGCAAAAAGAGGGTGCAGAGATGGGGTGCGGTGGGGGTGCACAGAGAGACAGAGAGATTGTACGTCTCTCCACCTTGCTCTACAGATTGTGATTCTCACAGGAAGGTCCAGAGATGAAAAAGTACACTAACAATTTTCTGAGCAGCCAGGTACAGACTGTCATTGTGAAGGGCTCATGACCAAACTGAGAGAGGACTTTCTTCTCCCTTCCCTACCTCATTTAGAATGAATGAAACTTTCAAAACAACAGCAAGAGAGACAGCATCATGACGATGCTTTCTCAGGACCACAGAGAAACCCATCATGATAAAACAACTCACTTTGCTTCCACACAAGGCTGTCCTGGCAGGAACTGCCTCCAAGAGTGAGCACAGAAGAGCATTACTGTATTAATCACAGATGTTTGCCCCGTGTCATTTCTTGATGGAATAGTTACTACGGTGATTAGTACTGTCAGTGAAATGAAGCAAGCCATGGTCAGCCACCTGTGGAAGCTGGTTGTGTTCCCAAGGTGTTACCCTTCTAGAGGGAGGGAAGGTGCAGGCACACCCAAAACACAGGCACAGGTTTTTATGTAGAATTTTTAACAGCAAATACACCTCACAAAAAGTTAAATGTGTAGACTTCACTCAGCTGGCTAAGTAAGATTAATAGAAGCACATGATAATCCAAAGCACAAGATGAGGGATAAGTAATCTAGACAATATCTGAATTAAACCAGCAGTCATCTCCTAATGAGCTTAAAACACAATGATTAGTCTTTATTAGTTAAATCTGTTATTTGACCATTGCAACAGAAAGAGTGAACTGCAGCACTAGAGGGCTTTGTACACAGACCCCTGAACACTATGAGGTGTCAATACTGACCTATCAAAGTATAGCATTCTCATGGTGGGCTTGGAAGCATGATCAAGGATGGAGAATGGACCATAGTCACAGGCAGCAACAATTTGATCAGACTTGACTGACCTCAAAATGAGCTACTGGTAACTTCTATAGAAAAACAACAGCAACAACTCCCCCCTCCGAACACACACACACACACACACACACACACACACACAAACAAAACAGAGATGGGGCCAAGGTTAAGAGCATGTTGCTACTCTTCAGGAGGTCCCAACTTGATTCCTAGCACTCACATCAGGTGGCTCACAAACTACCTGTAACTCCAGCTCCAAAGCCAGACACCCCTGGCCTCTGTAGACACCTACACTCATGTACCCATTCCGTCATACAGTCACACAGCCATATATATAATTGAAAAGAATAAAAATGATTTTAGAATTACACATACAAAATGTTTCATTCCACTTGTGGTTTTGATTTCATTTTCTATCAAGTCTTCATCGTCTGTCACAGGCAGGCTCTCGACTGGGTGTGGGGACTGAAGCAGGCTACAAGAAAGGGCTCTTCCCTGCTCTCCTAGGGCTTACTGTCTGTAGGAAAATTCAAACAGTACCTACTTCCTCACCAACCACAACTTGGTACTTGTACAGTACCTGGTACCCGAGCATCTCCATACACTCCACGTGAACCCCATCCTCAAGGTAGATGAAGCAGTGCATGTCCTCGGGCACCCTAGCGTGAAGGCAGTGGGATACTTTTATTTTGGTACCTAGTCTACATCATCCTGTAGTAAGTGCTGAGGACAGATGCACTGATTCCATACCCAGAACTGGCTAAAGATGTGTCTGGTTTCTGAACCCTCTGTTTCATCAGATCTTACCCTGCTCTGGGCCTAATCCCCTGATGCTCATTATCTCTGGCTGTTCGAAATATTCCCGTGCACAAATGTGTTGTGACAGCTGAACCAACAGAACCTTTGTTGCAGAAAGCGTTGTGATAGGCACACAAAGAAACTAAATACCAGACCACATTACTGGAAGGATTAGATCCACATCTAACATACCTGAAATTCACATTCTGGTAGAAGCTTTCCAGTCAAGGTCATTGCGCTGATTAGAAACGACAGCTTTCTACCCAGCAAGGAGAAACACTTGAGGTCCGTATTCCCTAGGCTGAGCCACACAGGACCCCGAAGGCCTCAGCCAATCTTCATAGATTTCTACAGTATCCCAAGGAAATGCTCTCGGTCGGTGTGTTCTGTGCTGCTACTGGGGAGGCTCTGGATTCTGAGAACTTTTACTTCTTCTGTGAGAGGCCCTCCCTCTCAGGTCACGGTGCCTTCCATCTCTCTCATAAGCATAGTCACAAAAATCTACTATGAGGCAACTTTGGGAACTCGTGGTACAGTATGAGTCTGCCCAGCAGAGTGGTCCGTGGTATTCATTCTTTCATGGTTGTACCCCTTCCCTGCCCTCCTACAGCACAAGGTGTGAACGTGTTGTCCTGCTACCATGACTCCAACTCCACCCCAAAGTGAGATGTCCTCTATCTACCAATAGATATTAACAGGGTCTTCATTTTGAGCAGAGGTAAACTTAAGCAATATTTCATGTAATTGAGCAACATATTAACTAAAAACTATACAGGTTAAATTCAAGAACCAGTGTTTTCTGGGGGAGGAATTATATAAAGGGGGTAGGGGGCGGTGATTGGGATATAAAGTGAATTAATTAATTAATTAATTAGGAAAAATCAATGTTTTCTAACTACCTGTTAGACATTTTAGTACAAGATTTTTCATCTTGCTGTACTGAGATAGCAGCCATAGGCAATGCATAAATGTTTATGTATGTGTTCCACCGAAACTTGACTTACAAATCAAGCAGCAGGCCGCATTTCACTGTCAGCTCAGTTTGCCATCCCTGTCTTGGGCAGTATTTAATCTCTGTCTCAATGCACTAAATATGTTAACTGGTTGACTCCTCAGAACAACTCCAGGAAATAGACGTCACTATTAACCATGAGGCAAAGAAAAAGGAATGACTGGTTCAAAGTAACACAATTAGTAAGGGGTCCTGAACCAGGATTTGAGCCCAGACAGTCCCTCCATAGACCCATATTCTTTCTTTTCTTTCCTTTATTGAAAACATGGACTATTGGGCTGGAGGGATGGCTCAGTGGTCAATAGCACTGCCTGCTCTTCCAGAGCTCCTGAGTTCAATTCCCAGCAATC